CACTATTGAAGACACATACTGCGTGAAGGAAAAGCACACTACTTATTTTGTTTGAATATTTATTATATTTTAAATAAAACGAAGCGTATTTAACTAATAACAAGCTTTATAAAACTGTTTAATAACAAGCTGGTGCATCCCCATTTTCACTATCGCTGTATACATCGCTGTAGCGGAGTTTTACTTTTTGAGATATTTGTATTTGTTTTTGTCTTGATGTTGCAGAGAGGGCATAAGCGAGACATTTATTCTTTAATGCTTTGAAGTAGTTCTGCTTTTGAACATGTGGAATTGACTTAATGGCAGACCACCAATTATTGAGTTTTTCTTTATTGTTTTTTTATACCGTCGGTAGAAATGAAATGAATTTTAATGTTCAGATTCTTCGTTTTCAAGTAAGCATAGCAATCTTTGCTAGAGTTCATTATTTGCCTTCTGGTNTTAGAAGTACCACATATCGCTGCTTTTTAACTGATGGCGATCTAGTTACTATCGGTGAATTTTTTCTTAAGTCAACTAATTGAAAGATTACTTTAAAACAAATGTAAGGAGTAAATGTTTCGAATTTTGATACTCTTTTTACTCAAAAAAAAAACAAAAAAAATTAAAATTTAAGACAAACTAGACATATTTTGTTTATAGCGTCTTTCTCGTATGAAGCTTGAAGAATGTTAAGGTTCATTTTATGCTTTGATGGTCTTATGGTATTGGGGAAAAAAAAACTCTTTTAGCTTGTGACGGGTGGGACAGTATTTTGTGACCGGTGAGACGAGTCACTATTGAAGACACATACTGCGTGAAGGAAAAGCACACTACTTATTTTGTTTGAATATTTATTATATTTTAAATAAAACGAAGCGTATTTAACTAATAACAAGCTTTATAAAACTGTTTAATAACAAGCTGGTGCATCCCCATTTTCACTATCGCTGTATACATCGCTGTAGCGGAGTTTTACTTTTTGAGATATTTGTATTTGTTTTTGTCTTGATGTTGCAGAGAGGGCATAAGCGAGACATTTATTCTTTTCTGCTTTTGAACATGTGGAATTGACTTAATGGCAGACCACCAATTATTGAGTTTTTCTTTATTGCTTTTTTATACCGTCGGTAGAAATGAAATGAATTTTAATGTTCAGATTCTTCGTTTTCAAGTAATCATAGCAATCTTTGCTAGAGTTCATTATTTGCCTTCTGGTTTTAATAGCGTTTCAAAGCATTTGTTTGACCGTTCATCACACCTTTTCCGTGACTAGTTGCGAAAAAGTTCCAGCCAATCTCAACACCCCAGTCCTCTTGCGACCAACAGATGTTTGACAGAGTGAAATTATTTTTAAATTGTGCAGCACAACCATCCAAAACAGCGTGAATTTGTTTCAAAATGGGATATTTAGTTTGTATATCCTCAATAATTTTCTTTAAAAAGGTCCACACTGCATACTTGTCATGCAACAATTCATCACTAAGTATTACAAAGGAAATTTTTTATTCTCCCTTTGCTGCCCAAGCTCATCCTGTAAATAATGTAGCTTGCGGATGAGACCNCTGTACTGTACTGTACATTAAAACTGGTACATCTGAAGAAAGAGCAATCGAATCGCAACAAACGAAATTGAATTTTGAAGGCGAAGAGTAATACTTAATGATACCCTAAGTAGAAATGAGCGAAAAAATTTGNATTCATCACTAAGTATTACAAAGGAAATTTTTTATTCTCCCTTTGCTGCCCAAGCTCATCCTGTAAATAATGTAGCTTGCGGATGAGACCAATGTGCGCTCTGAATTTCATCTTGAGATAAAATCGTGAAGTTTTCCGCGAAGTCTACTTGCAGCAGGACTTCTTAAATAGTAGTCTGCAGCTTTTGAGCCTGGAATGCTTCCGATTGACGTCTTTTTATGAAAACATGCAATTTAAATTTAGGAGTTTTCTTCCGAAGTTCCTGAAGTATTTGGTTTACTGTACCGGGAAGACTTGATTTTTGAAGTCCTTTTTCTGATTTTGTCCATTGTTGCCAACAAACGTTCAAATTTATATCGTAGTTCTCGGATCCCAGATATTGAATATCGATACAATTTTTGCGTTTGAGCAATCGCAACATATTTCGTTTAACAAATCAGTAGTATTACCAGGAAAAGCGTCAAAAATGTTATGAACAGCCTCTACGAGTTAATTGTAATTTGCGTGGTGCATGCAAACGCAGACGTTGTGTGGCATTTCTGACATGAGCAATACCTGCATCGGCCTCATTTCATATAATATATTTTCCCCCATTTTAACCCCAGGATGCGTTTCTTTAAAAAGTGAGAATGCTTCAGAAACTGACATAACCATGTGCCTTTTGCCAACATAACAACTAATTCCTGTTTCTGTACTCTTAACTGATACTGTATCTTTTCTCACAGGTAAAGCCCGGCTTATGTCATTCCTCTCGTAAAATCTTTGTGCCTTTTGTTGTCGATTTCTGGAATGATTTCTCTCTTTTTCCTTGAAGAATCCGCTAAAAATTTTGTTTTAGGTACATCTCTTACTAATTGCATCAGAACAGCTGTTTTTTTCTTGGACTTTGTGGTAAAGATTTTTGCGTTTTTATTACGTACGGCCTTACGCAATGTTCTTAAGCAGTTATATGACCCTAATTCTGCCGACAAATTGTATTGCATTGATAGTGCATTCTTTATTACTTTTTCTTCTTTTAGCATCTCTTATTCTCTCTTTTTTCAAAAAGTCTTCCCATTTTTCTTTATTTTCTTTCAATTTCTCTCTTGACTTCCTTTTCCTTTCTGCTGGATTCATGATTCTTAAATTCAATGGTCACCAAAATCCAAAATAAATAGCGTATTAAATTATGAATAACTATTTCCACAACCAATAAGTAAACTAATAAAATCAACGTACTTATTTAGAAAACTTCAGAAACTCCACTACTTGTTTATTTTTTTTACAAGTAATTTTGTGACGGGTGGGACACACTTTAACATCTAAATTTTTTCATAAATATTTATTTCAAGTATATTATTTGCAGCTAAAACAATTACGCGCTGCATAATTGGTATTGTTACTTGGCAGAAAATAATAGGTTATATATTTGTAAGTTAAGATAACAAAAAAAAACATATTTTGCTGTGACGGGAGGGACATCCAATACTCATTCCCTTGAACGCTTACAACTGCCCAACATCAATTATATTTTAGTAAAAATACACACTGATTTAAACTCCATGAATTTTACTCTCTTTTGCTATAATTACTTTTCGGATTGTTGGCTTCAACAAGATAGACATGCCTTGCCAACTTGGGGAAAGAATACTGTATCAGAGATAGTCATACTACAGCCGAGTTAATGAACATTGAAAATGTAGAATTATTCCATCTGCTTTACTATTTCCACAGATTTAATCACAATCTGTGTATTTTTTTTTTACCTGTGGTGTTATCTTCGCTGGAATGACCTATATAGTTCAGAACGAAAGCGAAAGAGACTGCTTCCTAGGACATCGCCATGTTAAATAAATGAGTTCGTTGTAGGTAAAACTAGTGAACCCGCATGGCGTTAAGACGCCAAAATTGAGTTTAATATTTTAAACAGATGGCAACACTATTCACAAACCTTAATAAATATTGCAAATGTTTCAAGTAAATTCGTCCATCCCTTTTTGAACGAAGAGTGGTCTCAAATGGCGTCGGTCTTTCATTTCCTCAAAATTCAAACCACCGTGCACCGCTAAAAGAGTTCGAAACTTCAAAAAATAAAACCCTAATGCACATTTAGAATGACGGTGCTGATCTAATGACCTTCACATTAAAGATCTGATGACATAACAAAAAAATTATTTCTTTATAAAAATTCAAACTCAAACTAATTTTTTCGGTATATTATGGGTTTATTCGAAAGAACGTATATTCCCATTAGTTATGGAACCCGATTTCATCATGTGACTGTCTTCGCAGTAGCGCATCCTGTTAACCCAGTTCTCCAAGACCTTGTTGCTGGTTTCTGGCTCTATCTTAAGAAATGCCCGACATAATAGATTGTTCGCATTATATCGGTCCTTCACGGCATGGCACAAAAAGTCTAAGGGCGTGAAATCGCGGCTCTGAGAGGGCCAATTCACT